ACCATGTTGGCCAGGCTGGTCTCGAACTCCTGACCTCAGGTGATCCACCCACCTCAGCCTCCCAAAGTGCTGGGATTACAGGTGTGAGCCACTGCACCCGGCTGCATCCCTCTTTATTCTTGACCCGATGGCTCCTGAAGATGGACCCTCCCAGCCCCAGTGCTATCATTCTACCCTTAGCCTCCCAAGCTAAAGATAGACTTGGAGGCCGTTTCAGTCATTTCTCCTGCGATAAACCATTCAGATGTTATTTTGGGGGCCACCCACCCCATCTTCCCCATTTCCCCCGTTTTCCCTAGGAATGCAAGCACAAAACTTCCCTTTTTCGATTCTAGACCTATCAGCATTTCAGTAACTTCCGTCCCCTTTTCTCTCCGTCGCGGCTCTGTCAGAGGCTTTCCAATTTCTCCTCCTCCCTGCATTTCCCTCCTCCTCCCCCACGGAGAATCTTGACCTCATCTCCAAGTGGAAGCAAACTCTGATGTGCTCATTTCTTTTAAAGATACCTTCAGCCGGGCCAGATGTGGTGGCAGGCGCCTGTAATCCCAGCTACTCGGGAGGCTGAGGCAGGAGAATCGCTTGAACCCAGGGGGGTAGAGGTTGCAGTGAGCTGAGATCGTGCCACTGCACTCCAGCCTGGGCAACAGAATGAGATTTTGTCTTGAAAAAATAAAAATAAAAAAATAGGCTGGGCACGGTGGCTCACACCTGTAATCCCAGCACTTTGGGAGGCCGAGGTGAGCAGCTCACCTGAGGTTGGGAGTTTGAGACCAGCCTGACCAACATAGAGAAGCCCTGTTTCTACTAAAAATGCAAAATTTGCCAGGCATAGTGGCGCATGCCTGTAATCCCAGCTACTCGGGAGGCTGAGGCAGGGAGAATAGCTTGAACCTGGGAGGCGGAGGTTGCAGTGAACTGAGATCATGCCATTGCCCTCCAGCTTGGGCGACAAGAGCAAAACTCCTTCTCCAAAAAAAAAATAATTAATTAAAAAAATAAAGATACCTTCAGTCACACCAGACACTTCCCCGCCCTCCGCTGTCGTCCCTCTCTGGAGCCAACGGGCACCACGTGGTCTAAGCCGTTCACAGGAGTGGACAGAACAGTGGCCCGTCAGGAAGGAATAAAGGAAACTGCGGCTGATGCTGCTGAACCTTCTCCCGCTGCTTCACTTTCCTGGAGAGAAGCAGACCGGCTCTATTTCCCACCTCTTGCAGGTTGGTGAAGTGTCATCTCACCGCCGCGTGCTGTGAGAGTCTGTCCTGTGTGATCTCAAGGAGCAGACACCTGCAGAGCCTGGACCTCACGGACAACGCCCTGGGTGACGGTGGGGTCGCTGCGCTGTGCGAGGGACTGAAGCAAAAGAAGAGCGTTCTGACCAGACTCGGGTAACTTCCTGGGGCGCCTGTTTGCGGGCCGGGCTGGGAGGAGCCGGTGGGGGGGACCCCAGCGTGAGGTTGCTTGAACAAGGATGATGATCTGGTTTCCGTAAGTCCATCAAGTTAGATGGAGGATGACCTTTGCAGCACCACAGATCTGGGTGTAAGTTCCAGCTCGGCTCCTACGGATGAGACGGAGGAAGTGGCAAATGCTTGGGAACAAGGTCTGGAGGTAGAAAATCCTCAGCTGCCCATTGAACGACCCCTGTGTGCTAGTCCTGGTGCTAAGTGGCAGAAGTATGGAAGTGAAAAGACGTTGGTGTTGTAGTGTGAACAGTCTAGAGACAAAGACGGGCAGAAAGCAAGTGATGACCTGAGTGGTCCTTAAAATTTCTTTGAGCATCAGAACCACCTGGGGGCTTAAGACAGAACTCTCCAGTATGGTGGACTGCGGTTCAGCCGTAAAAAGGAAAGTGCTGAGGCCAGGCGCGGTGGCTCACGCCTGTAACCCCAGCACTTTGGGAGGCCGAGGCGGGTGGATCACTTGAGGTCAGGCGTTCAAGACCAGCCTGGCCAACATAGGGAAACCCTGTCTCTACTAAAACTACAAAAATTAGCCGGGTGTGGTGGTACGTGCCTGTAATCCCAGCTACTCAGGAGGCTGAAG